TTTTTGCCCCTAATCATAATTTTAGCAATTGGAAAGAGTTTCAGAGGTCCTCTCATCCAAACTTTCAATCCATTAAAAGTAAATAAATAAATGTGATAGAGATTCTGTTCTTCAGGATTTCACCATCGAGGATGGGAGGCAATATTTTTAAAAGAAATAACATTAAATGAAATTAAAAGCATCTATTCATTGGGTATATGAATAGCTCATGTGTCTGCCTCTGAAGATGGATTCATCTACCTCAGTGATGTCATAGAGGGAGAGCGTGATCCGTGTGGCGCTCAGAGACAGAGTGTCCGACTCCACCCGCGATGTTCCAAGACAGGAGAGGACATTTGAGCTTTCTTTCTTCACTTAGTTACACCACAATTATATCTGTTAGCCCTGTACCATTAGTACTAGGGACAGGAAATACTAAGACATAGTGCCTGCTCTCTAGTAGGTTATTGCTGACCTTCATAATTTACAGATTCCATACTTACAAAAACACCTACTCCCTAAAATTTATTTGTAACTCCAAAACCAACTCCTTGTGGCACTTTCAGTCATTTCTAGACACGCACAGAGGGGGGAAATTTTGAGTCCCTCAACACACACATTCCCGGAGGTCGAACAAGGCGATGCTCTACACTCTCCTTGCAGCTCTCATCCTGTAACCAAGTATTCTTTTCAAGGTCTGCTTAATGTCACTTTTGATTGCACTTTTACACTTTTCTGTTGGTGATTCACTATTGAAAATGGTCCCCCATGACATGGGTGAAGGTGGTCAAAGGCTGAAATTTCCAGCTGCAAAATGAATACATCCCAGGGAGGTAATGTGGAGCACAGTGACTACAGTTAACAATACTGTAATATATACTTACAAGTTGCTAAGAGACCTTAAAAGTTTTCATCACAAGAAAAAAATTGTAACTGTGTAGTGATGGATGTTAGCTACACTTATTCTGGTAATCATTTCACAATATATACATGAATCAAATCATTATGTTATGATATGTTAAAACTAATGCAATGCTATGTATCAATTATATCTCAATTATAAAAACTAAACAAATAAAATGGCCCCTAGAGTAGTGCTGAAATGCAGGCTAGGGTTCTCACTAGGAGAAGGTTGTGACATGCTTATGGGGAAAACACGAGTGTTAGAGAAGTTTCCTTTAAACATGAGTTAGAGGGTTGTTGGTCATGAGTTCAAAGTTAAGGAATCAGTGATTCGATACACTTAGAAAAAGAGGAAATTCACTGATCTGTGTGTGAGTCTGCTCTGGAAAGTGCTAAAGTAACATCTATAGTACATGTTGAGGTTATGAAAAAGTGGCTGAACTTATAATTTCATGAAGTGATAGCTGATTAAAAAGAAAGAAAACATAGTGGATAATACTGTGAGGCTGAAAGCCAAACATACTTATGTTAGCATTACCCAGCATCAGGAAAATGTTAAACACATTTCAGCTAGTGTTTTATTATACAGAAGTATTGCACATCATTAATTATTTGTAAGAAACACATATTAAATTAGGTTTCTTCAGACAGAAATATATATAAATCAAGTTTACGTATTGACCTACCGATGCAAATGTTGTAACCAGAGGCCCACAGGAACCTAACCCTGTATTTCTCCTAGGAGCAATGGCTCAGCACTTGCTAATTTGATGTTGCCAGTGACTTTATAGAACACAACTATCACACATAACAGAGACCCCATCATTTACGTAGTGTAGCAAACAGGCAAGCCATCAACAATTGCTCTACAAAGTGATCAACATTAAGGCAGTGCCCACACAGGGTCCTGGGGGGGACACCATGGCTGTGACAAGGATAACAGGTTCAACATTTAAATACCTTTTCTTTGTGAAAGAACTTGTTTTTTTAATTATTTTTTTGCTTTTTAAATTATTTATTTATGAGCAACACTTAATTTACGATTAGCTATGACTTCTTCACCATCAACAGACATACCTGGGAAATCTTAAAGTAAGGAAATCTAGACAACAAATAATTTTCAAATGTAATTAAAGTTTTATGAGTTAAAGTTTTTACAAGTAATGAAATATAGTGTTATTTGGTAGACAATTACATATATCTTATGGTAAATATCAATTTTGCCTTTTCTTATTTTGTAGCCAATATTATTTTTTTTTTCAATTTTTTTCTTTGGGGCTCTGAAAAAGTTCTTTTTTTTTTGTCACTAAGGAAAGATCCAGGCTTTATGGACCCTAAAACTTAGGCAATTTGGGGGTTTATTTAACAAAACATAAAATTACAAATACAAAGTTGGGCCCTTTAGAAGAGGTATCGGTATTATTCTGGTTAATCTGCCTCTGCTCAGCTTTGCTGGATAAAGCACCCTATGCAGAAGCCGCGCGGGGTACAGGCATACCAGGTAAGAACACTGTAACTGTAGTTCAGGAAAGAGTTAAGATGCAAGTTCAAACTTGAGAATAGAAAGGAGAGGAGAGATACAAGAGATATTCAAAAGGCCCATCTGACAGGACAGAGCCCTTGATGAAGATGTCAGAAAATGTCAAGAAGGCTCAGATGATTTAACGAGTCAGAAGAGGGAATCCAGAAGGGAACAAGGGTGGTTGGGTAGAGCACGTCTGGGAGGTGAATGACTTCAGTCTTGGAAATATCAAACCTGGGGTGCTTATGGACCACCCCCAGGTGCCACAGGGTGCATTCCAGATGGTAATGTATGGAAGTCATTGTATGTACATTTGGGGTTCGAGAGAAAGGACAGACCAATGTGCATGGGACAGCTGCTGGCAGATGAATGGTTGCTGAAGTTGATGGGATCTCCCAAGGAACAGATTAATTACAGAGGCATGCATGATGGAGACAGCACCCTGGGGAACACAAGCTTTTGAGGGGAGAGACAGATGGAAGAAGAAAGAAATATTCGTTTCTCCAAAACTTTGAAGTGTATCTGTAGGTGCCACATACTGTGCACACTGTCAAGGGCTAGAGAAAGCTGAATCAGGCACAGAAGTTGTCACCTGGGGATGGGGGTTGGGGCAACAGGTTGCTGCAGCTTAGAAGGTGGGTGATTGTGTTTTCCAGACTAAGGAACTGATGAACAAAAGCACAAAGCAAGAAAATCAGTGAAATAGTGAGTAGCTCATTTGAGTAGAATGTAGTAAGAGACAGAACAGAATACACATATAGGTGGGAATTAAGTTATGGGTGAGTTTAAAAGCTGAAATAATGAAGTTTAACAATAGGAGCCTCTGATAAGTTTCAAGCAGAGGAATTATATGGTCAGAGCTGAATGTGATGATGGGTTCTCTAGTAGATATGCACACAACTCGCATTGCAGAGATCAACACAGAGGCTCTTATAGAACCAGCAAGAAGTACAGGGACCGAGGGTCACCAGAGAAATACAGAGGAGGGAATAAAAGTCAGTGATCGGATATAGAGGAATTTACAGGACTTGACTGACAAGTACTGATAGGTTCCATGAGTAGGAAAGACGGAGTCCATGTTTTGATCCTCAAAGCCTGGGAGGCAAGTAAAGCTTTTACTGAAATTGATGTGCAGGGACGAAAACCTGAGAGCTTGGTGCCCAGAGGGAAAGAGACAAAGAGACATCACTGTGCTTCCTCCTCCCTATGACCTGCATGTGGGCTGTATTACAGCAGCCGCAGTTCACAAGGCTTCACACTGTGGGTCAATGGTGAATTCAAGTCAGTTACATGCCCATATTTATCCATTTTAGTTTTCTTTGCTATTGTTTTTTAATCTTAAACTAGAACTTGGTTTTCATCTGGTAGCATTTTACCAGATGAAAATGGTAAGTGGATGAAAAGTGGATTTTGCCCAACATCCACTTCAGTTGAGCTTGTTTTCAGCCTTCGTCTTCCCTGAAGGTGGCTGCTTTGGTTTTGTCTAAGAACCAGTCTGTCTTGCCGTATTTATTAATACAATGGAAGACCAAGGGGCATCTTTAGAATTCTCCTCTGACATAGATGACCTTGAGATAGCTAGGAAAGTCAGCAAATAGGGACAGCGCAAGGGAAGGAGGGAGGAAGGCAGAGAATGTCTCCTACCAGGTCCTTAGGACTGGATCCTTGGTGACCACACTGCCAGGTCCTCTGAAAGACTCGCCAGTTCCACTGTAGGCACCTTCGATGTCCAATCTGGAGCTGCCTAAAGCTGCTTCTTCCTGGATCCTGCACATCTGGATTTACTGCACATCTGCACTTCACCCTGGGTGTGGACACACACCTGGCAGCACCCCCATCCCACCCTGCATGCCTCCCACCTGCTCATAAAAGTTCCTTCCCGCCCACTGCTCCACGGCCCCCAGCCTGTTCCCACGGCCTCCCCAGGGGTTCTCCTTCCTCGAGGATCATCATTCTGTTTCTCCACTTAATTCACTCCAGCTGTTCTCCAGCTCATTTTCATCAGGCTTCAACAGAATAGATGTTGATCTTCTGGGTGAGATTTGAATATGCTCACCCAGTCACAGGAACTACAACATGGGAAAGTTGAAGGGATGTCTTTTGCTTGACATCGCAGTTACAATGCAGGGGTAGCCTGGGGTAACCCAGGGGTAACCCAGGGAGTGGCTAACGGCTGGGCTGAGGTTGTCTTTCTGGACAGAAGGGTTCAGAGCAGTCTGAGGACATCCTTACATCTGCAAAATCCCACCTGACAACAGTCCGGCTCTTTAGCCGTATGACTGTTATTACCTTTGTTTTTACCTAGATGAAGAAACTGAAGCACAGAGAAGTCAAATGACTACTCAAGGTCACACAGCTAAGAAATGACAGAAGTAGAACCCACCCCTTCTGAAGTCTGAAAAAGCTCACTTTCTTCTGTACACACTGGGGAGGAGCCCAGTCCCCCCTTCTCACCATTTCCTCTGTCCACAGTGGGGCATTTTTACTGAGGCAGCTTCCGTTCGACGTGTATATAGAAGAATCAACTATGATTTCTGCTTTTCTCCAAAGGTAATAACTGTCTACCTAATTTTTATTTCTTGTTCTGACTCTTCAGAGACAACCCTGCTACCCAATTTAACCTCAAAACTCACATGAATTCCCAAGATCTGAAGACAGCCATAGAGAAAATTACCCAGAGAGGAGGGCTGTCTAATGTAGGTATGTGACCTGGATTCATTCTATCTTGCTATCTCAGTTCTCATTCACCATGAATGTCTTCTAGCATTATAAATAAAAAGATGAAATAATAATAACAATTCTTCAAGGAATGATTCACACAGTATCTGTGCCTTTTCCCAAGCATTACCATGGATTTAGGGGCAAGAATTTGTATCACACACGTGTTGGAGTGTCCCAGTGTGCCTGGTTCTTCGGGACAAGCAGGACTGCTATTGGGACTGCTTCCTTACTGGATCATCAGGCACACGCTATTTACCATTAAACTTCATAACCAGTTCCACACAGGAAGCTAAAGTTGGGAATCTTGTTCTAATCTGTTTCTGTTCAGTGATGACTGTGCCAAGAGAGACCTGCTCCTTGTGTTCACCTGTGAATTCTGAGCCGTGGGAGAGGGGGAATACCAGGAGTCTAAGTTCTGGTTCTCAGCAGGGCAGGTCCAGAAACTCCATTTTATTAAGCTCACCCAGCGGTGGCTCAGTGTTAGGAAACCACTTCACACTAACCAAGCTTATGGGCTGCTAAAAAGCACATGCCAATGTGTTGATTTCTAAATGGTGGTCTCACTTTGGGGGCCCAGGGAGGGCTGATTGTCCACTTCCCGGGGAACGTGGTCTTACCATCAAAGTCCAAGGAAATGAAGAAGTGAGCCACAGTTACTTAGAATGGGAAGCGCACAGGGAAACGAACTCTAACTTCCAAAGATGGCTACTAAAAGCTTCCTGCAGACCTAGGGCTCCGAGGGCCTGCCTCTCCCGAGACCAGGAAATCACTTTCTCAATTCCGCCACCATGGTCTCTTCTAGAATCTGCTTCAACCAGGAAGCTTCTTCACATGAAGAAGCTTCTGAGACAGCTGCCAGCTCCAAAACCATGCCTTGCCTGCTCCATTCACACCCGCAAAACCAAAGTTCTGCCCCTTACCACATTAACACCTACAAAGCTAGGGGCCAAACATAGACACCTCCGCTAACACTGCCCCAGAGAAGTCAAATACTCTTCAGATCCTTGTCAGAAGAAATAGCACAATCAAAAGTATACTCTCTGCCTCAGTTTCACCTTCTAAATCTCACATAGGTACGTCAATTCTCGAAGCCAATACAAATCTGGAGCTGTGGCTGGAGTCTCTAAAAAATGCAGTTTTCAGATTTTGAGCCTCTGTTTTTGAGACATACTGGAAGGCGGATGAAATGTCTGTTGAGCACTCACTGACCATGGTCCCCAAATTTAAGATTGGGTAAGGTCAAGGTGATCTTCTTATGACTCCCTGTGCTCTGCCTACAAGCACCCAACACTAACCCAGAGGCCCTTGGGCTTTGAGGGAAATTATGCTTTAGTTATGAAAGCAGTTCTCAGCAACCAAGCTTTGCCCTTAGCAGCTGTGTTCTCTGCTATCAACTCACATGGAGTCTCCAAGACATTTCTCCAGCAACCAGTTGATCCCTTCATTTGACAGGTAAAAATATACTAGCCAGATGGGCCAGGATGCTGGCCAAAACCAAAGAGGCATTGTGTGTAATGACATCAATCCTAAAGCCTTAGGAAGGCAGTTCTTAGCTTTTGTTTGGATTGAGAACCCCTCTGAGAATCACCTGAAAGCTATGACTTTTTTGGGTCATTTTGGGTATGACTCTACCCAAATATGAAAGGGGACCCAAGAAAAACTGAAATTATCTTCTGGAGGGCAGGCCCCTTGTAGTACAGATTTCGCCCACTAGGTGAGTGTGCTAGGAACCCATCTGTGCACCAGCTGGTGTTGTGAGAGGCTGTGTTCAGCTTCAGTGAATATTTTTTGAAGACTCTTTCAAAGCATTTGCCCATTTCAAGGCGGGTGATTTACAAACGCACCTGACCATGCCAGGCTGAGTGTTCAGCAGTTTGACCAAAACCAGCATGCCCCCATGCTCCACCCTCCCTATTCACCCGATCTCACCCTGAGTGACATTTGTTATTTCCCTGGATGAAAATAATCCTCAAAGGGAAATGTTTTGCCAACGTGGAAGTGGTGAAACAAAAAAATGGCAGAAGCACTAAAAGGCATCGAAATTAATGAATTCAAAAACTGTTTTGAGCAGTGGAAAAACCATCTCCATAGGCATATTGCATCAAATGGAGAGCATGTTGAAGGCTACTGAAGTTTAAATACATAAGAATAAATATACAATTATTTTATAAATAAATTCTGTTTTTTAGGTCCCCCTTATAATACTTATACACAGAAAACACTGTATAATTCCCGGGGATTTCGGGATACACACCCCCACTGGCCCACCCTGGGGGTCCACAGAACCTCGTCTGAGGACCCTGCCTTGCTATATGCAGCTGTGCTGACTTCAGGATGACCGGCCATCCCAGTTTGCCCAGGAGCATATGGGCCTTTCAGTCCTGAAACTGGGAGAGTCCTGGCGAACTGGGACAGTTGGTTACCCTACTTGACTCCAAAAATTTCCTGAGGCTCTTTTTAAAAAATATTTCATTTATTTATTCTTAGAGAGAGGAGAAGGGAAGAGAGATCATTGATGTCAGAAATATTGATTGGCTGCCTCTTGTATGTGCCCTGAAAGGGGCCTCCCCACCTCAGACTAAACCCGCAACCCAGGCTCGTGCCCTGACCGGGAGTCAAACCTTTTTGGAGGCTTTCTTATACCTCAGGACAATCACTCTCTAATGGGGCAGTTCGTCGTCATGGAAATCTAGGTTCAGAGACAGGGAGTGACCTACTTAGGGCCACACAGCCAGTGGGTGACAAACAACCAGGGCAAAAACACAACCACCTCAGCTCTTAGTGGGTGTAGCACTTCCCTGACAAGCCACACTTGTGCCCCTGAAGTGGCACTGGACAAAAGGTACCCCTGACCCCGGAATACAGGCCTCCACACCCAGCAGTTCCTAGATGACCGGGCACACCCCAAGCTGCAGGAGGCCAAGCAGAGGCTCCTGTCACGCAGGTCAACACCCCCACCTCATGTTCTCAAAAAAAATATGGGGCCAGTTTAGGGGCTGGGTGGGGTTCCAGCACCTAGGCAAAGAAGGGACTTTTTTCTTCCCATGAAAGTCTTTCTTACCTGCCTACCGGTCCCTGATTTTTTTTTTAATATGAGACAATTAGAAATTAAAGACTTAAAGTGAAACCAGGAAGGCAAATGAATAGTGGTGGTGGTTGCACAACACTGGGATGTACATAAACCACTGAACTGTCCGCCTGAAAACAGTGAACGTGGTAAACAAAGCCACAAATAAGGGAGGGAATGAGAGTGTTAATACGGATCTCTTTATGCTGCTGCAGTCTATTCCTATAATTATAATCTGCATAATCACTCCAAGCATGAATTTTCTTTTTTTCCCAGGCCGGGCCATCTCCTTTGTGACCAAGAACTTCTTTTCCAAAGCCAATGGAAACAGAGGTGGTGCTCCCAACGTGGCCGTGGTGATGGTGGATGGCTGGCCCACAGACAAGGTAGAGGAGGCCTCGAGGCTTGCGAGAGAGTCAGGAATCAACATTTTCTTCATCACCATTGAAGGTGCCGTGGAAAATGAAAAACAATACGTGACGGAGCCCAACTTTGCAAACAAGGTATGTACCTGCCCAGAGACCCACCGGTTTTAAGGATTCCCTGCGAGGCTGGAACAGCCATCAAGGCTGGTTTTTGTTCCTTCAGATGGGTGTTCTGATCAACTTCTAGGCAGGAGGGCCTCCGGTGAGGGACTAGTACTTCTGGAACCTGGAATTACCCTCTCAAAGCAAAACCCCTCAGGCAAACTAGTCAACTAAGGCCACACTAGCGCCTTTGGAAGATCAGTGTCCCCTGGGTCTCACAAAGGCTTTCCCAGGCTCCTCCAGCAGTGTATGGGACCGACCAGGCAGCGCAGCAAACCTTTACACAAGCCTGCACACGGGCACCACACACTAGCTCGAGCAAGCGCGTGCATGCATGCACACTGCAAATTAACCAATTTGATAAACAAGCAGAGGGTGGTACTGAGCCGGGTCAGGGAGATCACGTTTTCGAACGCTGCCCTTGTCATCTGCCGCGACTGCCACACACAGGCCCTATCTGCAGCCACTGGCCTCCTGTCTGCGTCCAGCACCACCTCCCTCTCCTGCCAGGCCTCAACTCGGACTCGTGGGGGGAACCCCTCTCTCCCCCCATTACCTGGAATTCAGCTCGGACTCAACCCTCACCTCAAATGTCACCTAGTCCATGGAAAAGTTCTGGGAACTGCATTTAGGTTTTTATAAAACCAATTAAAAACATTTCCTAGGGCACTTTTAAGTCATTTCTTGTTTTAAAATAAATTTTTAATTATACGAGTTCATCTGGCGACATCGGGTCTGTGCTTCCTCTATGACCCTTGGAGAGGGAGCGGCAAGGAGAAGGCTCCACTTTGGGAACACCGGCCCGGTCACTTTCAGGAGCACACAACCGGGTGGCTTGATGCCGACTTGCAGCTGCGTTATGTTTTTTCTGGAACAAGCTTGGGCACAAGTAAATAGTTTTTTGCCTGGAGGCAGGGTTGTCGGGTAGACAGTGATGGGGTTTTAAAGGCAGAGAGACTTATGCTCCAGTCTCAGGGACTCAGGGATGTGGCTTCCCAGGTGGCCCTCCTCGGCTTGTCCCCTCCTTTCAGAGGGGTTATAATTCCAATTGGTAGGAGGGCGTGGGGGTGTCCCGAGAGAATCTCTCCAAGGGCACGGACTGCAATACCTGACACATAGGGGACCCTTCTCACAGGTGCAGGGCTGCTCTGGAGACATTTCTTGAGCTATTTCTCCCGTGTGTCTTGTTTTCCAAATCAGATCAAAAGCATGAGTTAATCCTCCCACGCACTGGTGGCCACCGGTGCCAATCTCATGGCTGGTTGCCAGCACAAACGAGCTGACACCTCTGCAGAGGCAGACACAGGAAGCTGAAACCAGAGTTCACACCTCCATTTGGTTTGCTTAACAGATGGCTGTCCTCTAAACAGAGAACTGGCTGGGGCGGTGGGAACGAATTCAGAGGTAACATGAGGGGTTTATGTCCCAGCAAGTGACAAACTGGGTGAACAGAGACAAAGAAAAAGCTTTAGGAGGACTAACTAGTATAGAAATAGAGCCTGTCTGCTTCTGGCCCTGCCCTGGTGGCCGAGGGTAATTGTGACTGACTGGGTATTTGAACCTGTGACCTGGCAGGTGTCCCTCTGCTCTGTCTTCCAGGCTGTGTGCAGAACAAATGGCTTCTACTCACTCAGTGTGCAGAGCTGGTTCAGTCTCCACAAGACAGTGCAGCCCCTGGTGAAGCGGGTCTGTGACACCGAGCGGCTGGCCTGCAGCAAGACCTGCTTCAACTCGGCCGACCTCGGCTTTGTCATTGACGGCTCCAGCAGCGTGGGGACGGGCAACTTCCGCACGGTTCTCCAGTTTGTGGCCAACCTCAGCAAAGAGTTTGAGATTTCAGAGACAGACACGCGCATCGGGGCCGTGCAGTACACCTACGAGCAGCGGCTTGAGTTTGGGTTTGACACGTACAGCACCAAGCCTGACGTCCTCAATGCCATCAAGACGATGGGCTACTGGAGTGGTGGCACCAGCACGGGAGCCGCCATCAACTTCGCCCTGGAACAACTCTTCAAGAAATCCAAGCCCAACAAGAGGAAGTTAATGATCCTCATCACTGATGGGAGGTCCTACGATGACATCCGAATACCAGCCATGGCTGCCCATCACAAGGGTAAGCTGGTCTCACTGACCAGTCTGGTGCGGAGCATCCCCTTGGTGGGCCAGTGGGATGAAGAAGGGGCTGTGTTTTTATGTGTTGCTTTTGTCTACCGCTTCATAGAATGTTCGAAACCCTAAGGAGAGTATGGGGGTGCAGTTAAACACCACTCGCCCCTCTGCACAATGAGGAAGGAGTAAGGCAGGGCACACAGAGGCAGCTCCGGAGCCATGGCAAACCCCAGGCATCACCCCCTCCTTTACATCCTATACCCCAAGTCACTGCACAGGAAGGTGTGACTCATGAAAAGGAATTTGGCTCGCTACTTTAACTGTTATTGAAGATACCAAATTGTGTCAGAATTTTGAAGAAAATGAATGTTTTAAAAGAAAAGTACTATTTTTGTAAGCAACTGCTAACCAGGTGTTGGGGGTTGAGGGGAGACCACAAAGAAATTTCCATTCAAAATATTCAAAGAGATATTTCCATATAAAAATTTGTATGAGGGCCACAGAAAGTTGAAAGCCATGAAAAATGAACTAAGTTATTTCCGTAAATGTTTAGAAAATTGGTCACATTTTAATGCCTCTTTCATAGAATCTATGTATAGTCACCATTTTGAAAAGGATCATAAAATGTCATAAAAGTACAAACAACCTAAAGAAAGCCAAAACACCAGTGACAGTAACAATGGTGCTGCTAATGCAGGTCCAGCTATAGCCTGACTCCAGGGGGTCGGTGAACAGCAAAGGCCCAGAGAGAAGGACTAGTAAACAGGGCTCACTCCTTGCAGAGGTTTCTTTCATTTACTTTCTTCTTCTTAATTTGTGTTTGTCTGCAGCATTTTCAGTCTTCTTTAAAGCTGCTTTTAATCTTTCCAGAAACAAGGAGGGGTAAAAACAAACAAGCCTTAAAGCTTCTGGAAACAGTTCTTACTTCTGGAAACCCAAGTAATCAGACACCAGGTCTGGGCAGAGTCCCCCCATGCTTGCCCCTACGGAGCGCACTCGGAATGGCAGGACTGTGGATTGCCCATGTGCCAGCAGTCACAGTGTCCCTTGGGCTCATGTCAGCAGAGTGAAGATAGTTTAAGGCTCAGAGACAACCCCTCCCAAAGTTCCAAAGTGAGCAGGCAGAGCGAAGGGGGCAGCTCCTGACTACACGTCCAGGGCTCTCCTGCGTTCTCCAAGCTCCTGTCCCCCTCATGCTCAGCTCCACTCTCACTTGGTTTTCTCCATGTGCCTCCCTTGGGCCTCATCCAGAGGGTGGCCTCGGCCATCCCCTGGTTGGAAGCGCACACTGAGGGAGATGTCCCAGGAGCTACGAGGGCTGTTGTGTTCTAGGCAGCTCTGAAGCACTAGGACCAATGGATACAACTGACAGGCAGGCAATGGACACTGTGTCTCTGGGGGCATCCAAGCCAAGGCTGTGTGAGCATCTCTCATTAGGTGCCAGTTCACAGCTCTCTACAACAAGGGTGGGCTCAAGGACCTGACCAGCTACATTTCTAATACTGTTTGTGTGTCTTTATTTGGGGGCAGGGCAGCCTTTTCTTCTTTGAGCAGAAGTGAGGGCTTCATCAGTCTAAGCCAGACCCATCCTGCAGCAAAGCTGGTCCTCTGCCACTTGCCAGCATTTTGAAGCCCAAAGCTGGATGTGCCAATGTAGACAATACTCAGACAAGACACTGGAGAAGTAAAAAAAGAGGCTGAGAGCTTAACTGCAGTTTAATGAGCCACAGTGGAAAAGAGCTTAGACCAAAACCACATGAGGTGTGGATGGCTCTTTAATCAGCTGAACAGGACACCCAGGAGACTCTGGAGATAGTGGCACTGTGGGCAGCTGGGGGAGCAAGGCCTGGGCAGAAAGGCTGTACCCAGGCTCTGCCCCCTCTTTCACGAGCATCTTGCTCACCCAAATCTGGCCAGCCTGGAGAAAAGGAACAAACGGCCTTCCCCCGAACAACCCTTCCCCCCCCCCCTTCCTACAAAAGAAAACAATCTTCTCTGACTCCGTGTTCTGCTCCAGCTCCAACCTGCCTCCTCCTTACAGCCACACTTCTGGAAGGATTAGTTATCTGTGCTGTCCCTGTAGTTTCATTCCTTTTCCACTCTCAACTCACAGCAGTTCATTTGGTTTCTTTGGCATCTACTCCCCTGAAACTACTCTCTCCAGGCGACCAATATCTTGTTTTCCTGTTGTCTAAATCCAATAAGCACGCTTCCGTTTCCACCCTACATGACCTCCCTGCAGCATTCAACACCGTTGGCCATTCCCTTATCTAGAAACCCTTCTTCTGGCAGTGATGGAGCAGATGCGATGTTCCTGCACTGGGAATGAGCTCGGAGTCTATGGCTTATAAAGTCACCCTCAAGCAAGCCTAGAGTGATTCAGTGCCATTTTAGTTAAAAAGATCTTGAACTGACTCTTTGATGCATTTAAGACTCTGAAATTTTGTTTGGCTCTACATGCATGTCAAGCAGGGTACCATGTGGTATGATCTGCATGGCATGAAAAGTTTCACCTGCCCCAAAATATCCCCTCTGTAACTCATGGACATGAAATTCTGATCTCATCTGTTTTGTGCCCTCAAAAGATTATAAACTCCTATGAGATAGCAACTATACCAACTGTGTTACTGTTGGCATCTAGCAGACGTTCGTGCTTTGGGGCACATGCTTTTTTCTTTTTAAAAATATTTTATTTATTTATTTTTACAGAGAGGGGAAAGGAGAGAGAAAGAAAGGAAGACACACATTAATGTGTGGTTCCCTCTCACGAGCCCCCCACTGGGGACCTGGTCTGCAACCCAGGCATGTGCCCTAACTGGGAATCAAACCAGCAACCCTTTGGTTTGCAGGCCAGTGCTCAATCCACTGAGCCATATTAGCCAGGGCTGGGGCACATTTCTGATTTCAGATTTGGTTACATTCAAATACAATAGCCAGCAGAGCAACGGGAAGGCAAGGATTCATTAGCAGTACTTTTTCTTGGGCCCATTTGCTTCATTGAAATTTTGTCCTCACAGGCGTGATCACCTATGCAATTGGCATTGCCTGGGCTGCACAGGACGAGCTAGAAGTCATCGCCACTCACCCTGCCAAGGACCACGCCTTCTTCGTGGATGAATTTGACAACCTGTACAAATTGGTCCCCACAGTCATCCAGAACATTTGCACAGAGTTCAACTCACGGCCTCGGAACTGAATTCTGAGCAGGCAAAGGCTGCTTTTCTGCTGACTCTGGGACAACCCCAGTGCTTCCCGGGCACACATGGGCCAGCAAGGCACGCAGGGCTTGAGAAACTGTGTTGTTATGGTTCTTCACCAGCGTGGGTTTTTCGTACTTCAAAACTTGGAGCTAGAGAGATGATCATACATTTGTAGAGTGAGCCAAAATGATGCATCCTTTTGAGGGTGCTGAGGGTTTCCATTTTGACAACTGTTTTCAAAATAACTATTCAGAATAGAGTACAGCACTTATGACAGGCTTAACTGAAGCTTTTGTGAGGTTTTTTAAAAAAAATTTACTACTCATGAGAACTCTGTAACCCTCCACAAGTTTCATGTTTGTCATGACAATACAGGAGCTGCTTAATTAAATGTGGACTCCACGTGATCATTCTGTGTCGTGGGTAGTGGTCACAGTATTTGTCCCAGGGCCACCCTCTGCTCTTCTCCTTCCCCAGAGAACTTGCTGTGCACTCACTCCTGGCACACAGTGCCGACTCACCCACAGGGTGCAGGGCCACTGAGTTCCCACAGCTTCTAGCTTTGGGACCCTTTGGGGAATAGCCCTGGAGAACCAAGCCGAATTGGCTTAAACGCAGTGCATTAAGCTGGTGTGGACACTCTCAGCCCACGCTGCATATGAGAATCACTTGGAGTCTAAAATGCTGGTTCCCGGTCCCCACCCAACACCAGTGAAATCTGACTCTCTGGGAATGGAGCCTGAACACTGGTGTGTTTGCCCTGCTCTCTGGTGAAGCCGAAATGCTGCCAGAACAGGGGACCACAGAGCCACCGCTGAGCAGTCAGTGTCACAGCTACTCCTGAGACAGCCCCTATTTGTGCCTGCTCTTCTTGGTTCCATTCAACTTAGCATTTGTCCTGGATTTTTTCATTTGTTAACTAGATATTATTATTAATGACAGCTAGATATTAGCTAGATGTTATTATTAATAACTAGAATTATTCTTAAAATAAGTTGGGATAGGTTCGGGTGAACTCTGTTTTGGTTGAACTCCTGTCCTGGGGTAGGACTGTTTGGCTTCCGGGTTCTGCCAAGCAAAATGATACATCCTTTTGATACATCCTGAACTCATGGGTCAGGATGTAAAATCTCGTGCAACCAGGAACCGAAGAACCACAAACAGAGATGACATCTGAGAAGTTATGTTTTGTAAAATGTGTGTGGAAAAATGCTAGTCTGAATGGAGGCAAAAAGAAAGTACCCATGTAAATACCTGTAATAAAAGAGTTACATAAAAAATTTTAAATTAAATTTATCATCCATTTAGTAGAATTTGCATAAAGCTTATCAAATATCTCAGTACCTGGAGAGCAGTATATTGTCAATTTACAATGGGGGTTACAGAGAAGAATCAATTAAAGGTGTCAGCAATTTCAAGTTTATTAACCACAAATTTAACTTTAAAGGTGATGGTAAACAAATATGTTCAAAAACTTCAGAATATAAAACTATTTTCAGAAAGGAAATTCTTTGTAAAGACACCAGTGACACACTACTAGTGACCAATTCAGCTAAGAAACTCATTAAGTACTTAGAGGAATTACTCTGCCTATATTTTTAAATGTGTAGATAATCAACATAAAGGAGTTTTTTCAATGTCACTTCAATGTACATACACAGGTAAGTTAATTTTTTTAAGAAAAAATTTCTTCTAGAAAATAGTTTGGAATATAATTATTTTATAGGGGCCTTAGTATAAAAACCATTTTGTCATCAGTAAGTAAATATTTCCAAAAATAATGTACTTTTAACTATTCTGGTATCCTCTTTCATTCACAAAACTGTCCCAGTTTGGGAAATAAATTATATAGTCACCCTTAGTTATAGAAACTATAAAATTTTGTTCTGGCTGGTGTGACTCAGTATATTGAGTGCCAGCCTGGAAACCAAAAGGTTGCCAGTTCGATTCCCAGTCAGGGCATGTACCTGGGTTGAGGGCTGGTTTCCCAATTGCGGGTATGTGACATGAGAGGCAACCAGCTGCACATTGATACTTCCCTCTTTTGTTTCCCCTCCCTTCCTTTCTCTTATAAATAAATAAATAAATTTAATAAGTAAATAAATTTTAAAAATCTTTTTTAAAAAAGAAATGATAATTCTGAAGATAAATGGAACCTCCTCAAATGGACCCATTCTCTCTATGTCATCAATAAATGTTTGCATGTGGAGGAAAGCAGCATCAGAAATGAGGTGGGCAGATGCTCAGAGGCTATGGTGTCATCGGAACTGTGTATAGAGATGTTCAAGTCCCCAAAGATGGTGACAGGAGTCAGGATAGAGAGAGAAATAGGGAGCCAAGCTCTGTACGCTCAGCGGAGGAGAGAAGGTGACCATGAGGCGGGGAGAGGGCTGCGACGACAGGGATGGATGACAGGGCTGAGGCTGGACCTTCGAGAGAGCGGGTGCTTTGAGGGAGGAAGAAAGGGCTCTGGGAAGAGCAATGGGGACAAAGAGCAGACCTGTCCCCATTCCAGGCCTGAAATCCGTGGGTGAGAGAGCACAAGCAGACTCTACCCAGGAAGTGGCAGAAGACAACCAGGCTTCAGGTAAGTTGGGGCAAGAAAGGGTTGAGGTTTCTGGGAGCTCGCTAACAACAGAGAGCAGCTCCCCACGACACGATGGGAAATCTGGGGTGGGAGTGGGGCTGGGTCAGGGCAGGGTTTGCACAGAGCGGTTTGGAGACAAAGGTCCTAGTGGTGATGGGTGACATGGGAGGGTTGGATATAAATGTCACCTTGCTCAACCTGTGTCCAACACTGCTGGGGAGGCACTGAAATCTTACACTAGAAATAGAAATTTAGAGACAATTTATGTCAAACCCTCCAATGGCAAAAAGGAAACCCAGGGCAGAAGTGGTTGTGCAGATATGAAGGGACAGAACTAGAATTCAGATCTGTCTTCCAACCTACTGACTCACCTGACTGCCTTACAAGGCACTTCCTACTCTCTCTCCCATCCCTATCCGACACACACACCTGGTTTGGCACACTCACGGCTCTGGGCCAGCCTTTGCAGAGCTCTCTGGGTCCTGCAGACTCGGAGCCAATCTCTTAAGGCAACTCTCATTCTGTGGTGTGAGCAGAAAAGCTCTTCCATGCCCTCTCCCCTCCGAGTCAACCCAAAGAAGCAGATAAGGAGCATCAGTCCAGCTTCTCTGGGTGCATATAATGCCTAAATTCTACTCAACTGTTTCATCTCTCAGGAGTTAGGGCTCTTTGAAAGAGGTTTCTTTGCTAAAAATTTTTGCAACAAGTCTCTGCTAAGAATTTTCAGCCATGATGACAAGGTTCAGGTATTTCTTGTTTCTTTGGTTTCTTTAAACCCCTTTGAACAGGACAAGAACTCCATGAAGCAGGTTTTCTTGGGGGACTGGCATGGGTTTCTAAAGAAAACAAGGCTTCTGAATCCAAGGGTTTTTCAGCCTCAAAGAGGAGTTTCCAAATAATAATGTTATTTTCCAGTCACAACCTTAAGAAAAGTTCTCCCCTTAGATTGCCAACACGTAAATGTGGTAAGCAGGAAATATACCTGTAAGCATGAATCCAGTTACTTTGGAAAGAGACATTTATTCACAGCTGTGAAGCCTTTGAGGGATTCACAGTTCAGTGGGAAACCACATACAAGAGAACAATTAAAACCGTATAATTAGTATTATGGGATTACGCACAAAGTGCATGGCTGGCGATTGCAAACCACCTCATGAGAAATCAAACCGTGACAGTGCCTAACGGCAAGCGCATTTGCTGCATGCTGAGCATTGTTCTATGCACTTCATGTGCATTAACTCATCTCTATGATTTGCTGAGGTACCATTATTATTTGCATTTCACAGATCATGCAGCTGAAGCCTGGAGATGTCAGGTAACTTGCCCAAGGTCAAAGAGCTGGGAGAGGCAGATCTGGGAATTAAACAGAGGCAATCTGACTCCAGAGTCGATATACTTAACCACTTCACTCCTTAAAATGGTGGCATATGTAGTAACCAAAGTGGCTGAAGAGGGGGTTCTCCAGTAAGTGTGACAACTTAAAATACATGTGTACTTCTGCAACATGTATTCTCAGGACCTATTAAATATACAGAGTCTATTAAATGTCCAGTGCAAAATGTACTTCCCCCATCACTTCTCTTGATCCCTTGGACAGCCATCCTTCCCTTACTTATGCTGAGTGATTTTAATGTATAGACTATAGTCACTGAACATATTGGGCTCTTCATCCTCTTGTTAAACTCTTACTCAGCCTTCAAGTCTCAATCCAAATGCCACTTCCTCTCCAGAGCCCTCCCTGACCTGCTCAGATAGACACAGGCTCTCTGGATACAGAATCTTGACCCACCTACTTTCCAGTGAACTTTTTAGTCTCTTCTCATTAGGGGACGCAATCTATACATGTCATCAAGGGCACAGCATACTAAGTCTAGTTCTGACAATGTCTAAGTCATCTGACAGTGCCAACCCCCTAATACAGTGGCACTGGTAGAATGGGAGGCAGAGATGATTCAAGAAGAGGGAAATGGAGTATGATGGCAAGAGAAAGAGAGGATCTCATTCCATCCAGACTGTACCACTCTTTCAAATGCCCTCCTAAGTTTCATAACGGTGTGTTACAATCACTGTTTTCGGAAGCAGAATCCTCTTCAAGTACCTAACCAAAGGGTAAAACTGTTCCTCACCTTCTCCCATTTTTCCTACAAAAATAACAATCCTGTTCTTTGTTGACCTTCATGAGTTCTATTGAACAAACAGGTTTTAAGCACTTATCATGTGCCAGGCACTGGGGCAAGCACTAGGGTACAAAGGTGAATAAGACCAGTCCCTGCCCAAGGAGCTCTAGAGGCTGGTATGGGAGAGACATGCACAAATCAGTAACATCTGACTATCTTGTGACAGGGCACAGGCAAGCTTGGGAAGCCTTCCTGGGCAGGCTTTTGTCTGTTTTAGCCAGATGAAGAAAATTGGAAAAGTCCCAGCAGAGGGGATGAAGGAAACAAAGGCAAAGAGGCACAGATACAGGGTGACACACAGACAGGATGACAGCTTGCAACTCAAGGCAGGGGAGTCAGGAAATGAAGCAGGAGAGGGGTAGGGGCCAGGCCATGGGATGCTGTGTTGGTTAAAGCTCTCTCGGTTGCAAGTAACAAAGTAAAGGGGAAATTGTTGGATGGAAACAGGAGCAACTCTTGAACTCCAAGGTCAGACACACAAGAGAATCAGCTAGCCCTCTCCTGCTACTCTCCACAATGATCTTCACCAGGAAATTGTTGAGGACCCCTGCAGAGGGAAGAGCGAGACCCCACCCAGTAAGGACTCACCGCACAGTGCAGCCTCCTTCCACAGGGCCATCAACAAACCATATGGTTCTATATGATCACCTTGCAATTAGTAACTTTCCAAAGTTCCTTGAAGCATCAAGTTGTCTTGAATGCTGACAGATGTACACCCACAAGTACCTGAGTATGGAAAACCAAATGCAGGCTTCAAATAATAGCCTTCTTCTGTTTTGCTTAGAAGCTTTACCCAAGAAAATCAATGGCTATCTCTCTCAGACTCCCTTTCAGTTCTCTTGGCCTCAATGGCTACAACATGTTACTTGTTTATAGGCCATTGAAAACTGTGAAGCCTGTCAGGGAGTCTTAGGTGCTAATTCTGGGACCCACTTCTGTTTTTAGTGCGAGGGACTGTCTGAGGATATATGTACTATTTTGATGACCATACACATAGAAAACAAATAAGGTTGAAATGCCACAATTTCAATGCAAACTTTGCTTTTCTTTCTTTCTTCCTTTTCTTCTTTTAAAAATATCCTGTAATTGAAAAATACTGAGCTTAACTTTATTCCTGCCATCCCCCTAACACAAACTGGGCCTTTAGCAAACAAGCTGCCCAAGTAAGCAAACGCTATGCTCGGCTTGGCAGCTGGGGCTTTCTTATAAAAAACACAATTCCAGCTGAATAGCTCCTTTCTGTGATTCCTCTAGTTTCACACTTCATTGAGGTGAGCAGGGTGTATTCAGGTTAATGGCAAATTGGAATCTGGGTTCTCAACAAAGAGCCTTTACATGACTGCCCAGGGCACAGAAACCAGGGGTGTCTGGGAGCCATGGAAACTATGTAAACACCAAAAGAAGACCCAAAATCATTTAAATTATTGTTGGTCTGACACCCCCAAGACATTGGTAAATCTGCATCTTGATATTAAGATATTGATTTTTTTCAATTATCTTAATACTCTACAAGTTCTCCATGCAATCGTAGTGAAAGGGAATTTCTTTCCAATCTCAACAGGGAAGTTGCGTGGCATTTTAAAGCCCAAGAGGGAATGAGGACAAGTCAAAGCGTACAAACCACTGTGGTAATAACTGCCTAAGATACACACCAAGCAAAATAAATGAGCAGATGAAGTTTTCTGAAAGTGTAATTTGGTTTTCTCCTAAGAGAATACTCTCTTTGAATTGGGACACAACTGCAGTGTGGAAACTCAGGGGATCTTTCCAGTTCCTATGACCTAAATGAAAGGCCTGGAACACCCACAGAGGGGGCATTCTCCTGAAATAGAAAAATCAACCCTTTCATGCTGGAGTAGTTCTAATCCTGGACAGTTAGCGAAGATCTCTGGAAACAAAATACTGGTGGAGCCATGGCACCCTCGGGTGGGGGGAATTGTCCACATGGGCAGCCAAAGTCTGTCCTTGCAGGACTGCAGGCTTGTCGGTGGGCAGATCTGGGACATCCCTCAGAGACCTCCACCCCAAAAACACTTGGACCTGCACTGTGCCAGTGAGGACAAGCCAACACCACTGCGTAACTAATTCTTGCTCCTATGACTTTGCTTGCACCCGCAGGCTGGGGAGGCCTAGAAAAATTGTGGAACAAGAGTAAAACCAATCGTAGACATCAGTTATGAAGTCCCAATGTGCCATGAACTGTGCTGCAGTTGTACCTTCACCGTGTCATTGAAGACATAGGAAATTTATGCTGTGAAATAAATGTGTCCTTCAAAACCATTCT